TCCTACATGTATGTTGTCATTGTAGCCTTTTCGTCCTAAGGACATCCTTGTGCTGTCTGGGTTTCTTCTCGTCAAAAGTTGTTCAATTTGAAGATGTTACAATTTAGCGAAAAATTATCGCAGAAAGCAATTTTTAAATTTTATTTTAAAGCTTTAAATAACAAAATCTTTACTTATCACATGTTTCTTCGATTATTCGATATAACGTCAGACATATACGTACATCATGATTAAATATAACATCAGAATAAATCGTTAAAACTTTATTCGAGCGCAAATAAAACATTGCGTAAACATAAAATTGCATGTGATATGTAAAATTTGATATAATTTATATAAAATGCATCAGAATATTTATACAAGTGGAAGGAAAAAAAATATCCTATATTCTTTTTTTGCCGACATTTATCGATCACATAAAATATTATAATTTCTTTATAATGTTATCTGACGCATTTGGTGCATATCTTTTTTTTATATTTTTATTAAATATTGATCAAATATATTTGCTAAATAAATATTTAAAACATTGAAAATGACATTAATTATATACACACAATACTTAGATTTTAAACTAAATTTTCTTTAGATTTAACTAATGATTACTTGAATATTCTTAAGTACTCTTATAATTACAATAAGTTTATTAGATTATTCTATTCAAATATAAATACTACTATAATATCGAGAATATCAACGAATAATTTATAGAAATCATACCTTTTTTATACATTACAGCTGGCACGAAATCGGCACGCGCGATCTTCCTGCGATAATAGATTATATCCTGAAGACCACCGATCAAGAAAAGCTGTTTTACTTGGGTCATAGCCAAGGTACCACAACCTTCTTTGTAATGGCTATAGAGGTACCCGAATACCAGAACAAGATCCAGGCGATGTTTGCCATGGCTCCTGTCGCTTATTGCGGCAGAATAACGAGTGCAGTTATGCAGCTTCTTGCAAGGTTCATGGATTCCATTGACGTATGTAATTCTAATCTCGATAGAAAAATTACGTCATAATAAACTTCGAAGATTTCACGGATTAAATGTTTCATTATAGATGGTGTTGAAATTTTTCGGTCTATATGAATTCATTCCTACCGACGAAGGGATGAAAGAATTCCAAAAATTAATATGTGCGGAAGACGCCATCACGCAACCCTTCTGCTCGAATCTGCTCTTCCTAATCGCTGGATATAACAAGGAGCAGTTTAATAAGGTATATCTCATTTGTGTATGTCTTTATTTCTTTTAATTATATTTTGAAGTTCGTAGATGATTATCTGCTAAATAATATGGTTTTTTTATCATAACACTCTTGTACTATTGTATGACATAGAAGCGTAATTTCAAGAATTAAGAATTAGTAATTGAACTTAAATATGTATATATAAATTTTTTTGATAGTAACATCAATCATTATTGAGATTCGACAAATATACTTATACTGATACTATTTTTGCAGACTCTTTTACCGATAATCTTGGGACATATTCCCGCTGGTGCATCAACGAAGCAAATAATGCATTATGCGCAACTTGTCAAAAGTGGTAAGTGTTTATTTGTATTAATGTGCTTGTATGCTTAAAAAAAATAAAGCAATATATATATCTATCGTATTCAAATTTTATAAACACTTTTCAAAATTTTATAAAATGTAATATAAAACAATAGTACATTTCTGTTATCATTTATTAAATCAGGACAGTTTAGACAATACGATTATGGATGGCTCGATAATAAAAGGAAATACGGTTCATTTAGTCCACCGATTTATGATCTAAAAAAAATACAAGTACCAGTCTCATTGCATTACAGCAGCAACGATTGGTTGGCGAACATTAAGGTTCGTAACTTTTTTTTACGTATTGGTTTATTTCGAGTATCTTTAATATTTGTCAAGATACTTATTTCTTCATGAAGAAAACAGAATATATAAGCTTATATATGACTCTATATATATTGAAAGAAAAAGAAGAGAAATGAAACATAACCGAAAAACTCTCTTATACATTTTGACAAGATCATATTAGAATTTTGGAGAAAATAAAATCTTTTGTAATATTTAAGATACTCGAGATAAACTGAACTACCATATGTGATGTGATTTTAATTGCACAAATAATTGCATTCACATTGCGCTTTTTCCATAGGACGTGAATAAATTATACACAGAACTTGGCAATCCTTACGGTAAACTCCGAGTTCCACATGATAAATTCAACCATTTGGATTATATGTGGGCTAACGATGTAAAGAGCCTTCTGTATGACAAGATACTAAGCCTAATGACACATTTCCGAAAATAAACATCCGATTGTTTATAGTAAAACTTTGCAAAAATTAATGTACAATTTTTTTGAGGGAAGGGGAGGAGAGATCGCGCAATAACATCCCTCGATATTTTTCCTTGCTTATATGCGTATTGGATCAGTGGCAAGAAAATGGATCGACACTCGACCATTATTACAGATCAAGCGATTTGCGATTATCGGATAAATCCTCTCTGCCACTGAGCGAATACCAGGTTCTTTTCTATTCGCCCTAACAGCATAAAGTATTCTATGAAAAAAAAAACTTATGATAATGTTTGCGAGGAATTAATAATAATTTTTTTAGTTGCGTGTCATTTTCTACTTGCGTCCCAAAAAAATTTAATCTGTAATATAATTAAAGTTTCACTTTCAATCGAATCTAAGTTCAACCATGGCAAACTATATATAAGCAATATTTCAATACTCCTGCGATATTATCTATTTCTCTAATTGTTCCAAATTTCAGTTATCAAGAATAATGTGATAATAAATTAATGAATATAAAATATTTTCTGAAGAAAAATGTAAAAAAATATTTTTGTAGCTTTTTAACTCGTGTCTTTATAAGATTGAAAAGCATATATCTATGATTGTATCTATAATTATATACTAACAATATATAATTATGTTAAAAATCAAATAATGTATCAATAAGTTGATCTAAAATGGATATTAATAAATATAATATTACTGTTATCGATCTTAATTTCAATAAAATGAAGAAAGCGCATATATATTTTACAGAAAAATAATTCTAATAATTCGAAAAATTATTAGGAGGTTGTAAAAGAAGGTAAACATCGCTTTGACATGTACAAGAATATACATATATAAATACAAACGTGTGCGTGATATTGCAAAAGCGCCCATATATTGGTAGTTAGGGACGGAGATATAGGTGAAATATAGGCGAACTTAACAAAGTTACACAAATTATACAGGACACCACAGGTAGTTATCTAGTCGGTCATTCTATATTGTGAGTCGCAAGGTTGAATTTTATCGAGAGAACGCATTATTGATGTCTCGCAACATCATGTGCGTAGGTGTCCATGTGTGCGTAGGATAGGAAGCTGTCGTATGCGCGCGAATACGAGTGTCCGCGATTACAATCCATTTTCCCCTCTCTGTTATTTTAGCTTCATAATTTTCGAAAAAATTCGACCTCATGATATTCAATATCGCACTTTTTATAGGATAATTTCGCTTTCCGTTCTACCTAAACTACCTGTACATTTTGCGCCTCGCAGAAAAGGAAAGTACATCGTTTCGTTGTGTGGAACTGATTTTTATTGTTAAGCACAATAATATCCATCTGCTTTTACCGCATCTTCTGCATGCAGACTCGATCGCGAAAGTATATCTCGAGATCGGCGATGGTGGAAAATACAGAGTGATTCCCACGTCGAGAAGCTCGACTCTCCAAAAAATACGTACATTGTCATACTAGTGACACATTTAGTTTTTTACTTATTAGATCGTATCTTCGAGATAATACGAAAAATATTTCAATTTCAGATACTTTGCAATGTTTTGAAATGTTGGCAAGCGAGTATGACAACCGCTGCCTTAACAGCGTAACAGGTTCTTCGGCAGGTTCATTTAGAACATCTATTAACAACATACTTCTTGAACCAATCTCATGTAGCAAGTACGGCGAAAGCATAACGTACATCATATAACACCGTAAAAGTACAGCTCACATCCTGTGTGTTACTATTTATATATGCAATATTTATGCATCTCAATAAAACTGCTGGAATATATGTACAATATAAATAAATTAAAAAGAACATAATAACATGTTAATCAACTCAGATATTTTCAGATATTCTCGGTAACAAGTCGATTTTCAGTATTTGATTCTTTTTTTTTTTTATATCCGTCATGGTTTTACTTTTGAACACTTTCTGCTACACATATTTGCTACTTATAAAAGTGGCATTGTGTGAATATTTCTATTAAAAAAAAAAGGATTATGCATGGTGTGATAGTATTTTTGTTATTATTTAATAGTCAGTCTAAAATTTGAACAATGTAGCAACGTTTATGATAATCAAATACTGCATGAAAAATTGTTTGAAGATTGCACTATATATAAATAGTATATTATATGTATAATCTATATTTATTATATATATATATATATATATATAAGTACCATAATATGGAGTGTTGAATATTACATAAAAGATAGAATTTAATGAGCAGAAGGTGATATCTTTTTTCTCTGGAAACGAATGTTATACCCCAAGTATACATCGTCTCGAGATAAAATTTTCTTTTTTTGCCTTTTTTGCATTGTAATCTGTGCACAATATAAAAATTATGAAGGTAGAGCAATGAACGAGTCAGATATTGTTATTTAATAGCATGTTAGTTTTATATCGATCGAAATAAAGTTGTTATTAATAAGAGTACGTGTACGATAATGATATCGTACATCGCGAGAGAGATTGAGCTCTTTTTTTTTTCTTTTGCATTCAATCATGTTAACAGTTCTTAGTCTAATCAAAAATGTCAGTCGCTGTAGAAAATACAAAATCAAATTACGTAGTACGCAAAAGGCTATGGTTTCCGATTAATATAAAATAACAATTGCAGAGACAATCAATCTCGTTCGGGCTTACATTCATTATTGGCGATTAGCTACAGATACCATGTACTTCCAGTTTTACGTAGAATATAAAGCAGGGCACACTTCGTGTGTGAACCCGTCTAACGCGAAGTATATGTAGTGCACTTAGAGTGTTATTTGAACACTATATATTAAACAATTACGCTAAAATTTGCTAATTTAAAATCGCCAGTATTGAACTCAACCGTATTTTGCATATTCACCTAATAATATAAAACAAGAACACAACAAACTTGTTGGCATACAAAATACATTTTAACATGTAAGGTTGTATGTCATTTCTTTCTTTTTTTTTCCCAGTTTATCTCCCTACCCTTCGGTGTGTTTCTCTAGAATTTGTTTCGCATAACGACGAACAATATATCAAGTTGGAAACGTTAATATTTCTCTTTTGCTTATCGGGCACATGCGTTGCTTTTTAAAATAAATTTTTTAATGTGTACATAATGCATAATGACGTTCCTTTTACACATGGTGGTGATTTTAAATGTGTATATTTTACGTAGTGAGCAAGGGAGGGAGGGAAGAAGGAAAAAGGAAGGATGGAGTTTAGGAGAATAGAGAAACGAGCTTATCCACTCTTAAAGAGGAGAATGGCTACCTGACCAAGATAGAAATAGATAAAATGTCTTGTTTCGTGCGTCACGTAGCTACCGAAATTACGTCCTACAATGCAATGCCACGTTGGATTATACTTCTTATCGAACTCTTTCTTGATAAACGCTGCAATGTCCTGAAAAAAGATTAAAAGATATTAATGGTCAAATCAATAATGATATTGATTTAACAATCTCATCATGTACAACTTGAGAATTTACATATAATGATACATATATATAATACGTCTCTTTCTTGCAGAGTATAAAATCAATTTTTAACAATTTCAAGATAATTAAACTAAAGTATTAAATTCTTAAATAAAAATCTTTCAAGTTTTATTAAACTATTAAAATAAATAAATCCTATGTTCTACATATAATAAGTTATTCCAAATACCAATTGGTATTTCTTGATTTTTTTAATTTCCTTTAAATTATAAATTCTTAACATATAGATGCAATATTATATACCTCCTATTGAGATGTAGTTTATACCAGTAAAAATTGTTGCATGCCGAGTGCAAAGACTTCAATGAATCTTTTGAGAAAACGTTATGTGACAGATAATTAAATTATCGTCCATAAAATATAATTGTATTAAAAAATTTTAAACTTTTAATATGAAATATAAAAATAGATCTTATTATTAGAGATCTCTATTATGTATCTATAGAAAATATATCTATATCAAATATTTCTATGTATACTTTGATCACATCTTCAATATTCTGTTCCATACAAAATACGTGCTTGCAGAATATTCAGAGTGCATTATCTAATTCAATCACATACATCAAATAAAACTACGAAAAATGCATACCTTTTCTATGTTATATTTTTCGAGAGCTTGGGTAGCGCAGTCAACAGCATCTTGCTGCATCTCCTCTGACATATCAGCATTCTTGATTACTGCCTTTCGGTCCGACATTTTGTCTGTGCTAGAATATAGAGATACAAAATATGGTCATTATTATCGTTCATTGAAATACGCTTTTAATATTATGCAAGTACACTTTTAATATCTTGCAAATATTATGCAAGAGATATTTTTCAATATACTTTTATGTAATAAAAGTAACACAATTGAAAAATTTATTATGTAGATATATATATATATATATATATATACATATATATATATATACATCAAGGAAATATAATACAAATGAACATTTTGAAAGTGGTGCAAACTGTGAGAGAAATATAAATTTAAATAAATTGCAAACATAGAACGTGGGTCCATCACTTTCACCTATATTTCCATCACTTTCAAAATAAGTGATTTATTTATAAGTGACATTATCCGCGTTTTGAACTCAGAGTTAAATGCCACGCGCGAATTAACGGCTGTTTGGCATTCTCCACGCGCGTACGTTATCGAGAAATCGAGAGGAAAAACCTGGACCGAGGGAAGCGCACGACTCTGATAGTAGCGTACACGTTCGACGCCGGCATGACAATACGGCAGTAAATTAAGTGCGGGTAAAGCTCGCTTCAAGACAAAGAGAGAAAAAGACGGAGAACACCCAGAGAAAAAGAGAGAGAGAAAGAGAGAGAGAGAGAAAGGCAGAGTTATATCGCTCGCGCAAATATCAGTGCGATGCACAAATAAAGGATGAGAGGAGAGAAGGATAACTAGAGAAAGAGAGTGAGATAGAGATATACATAGATAGAACAAGAAAAAAAAGGGGGAAGGTGAGAGCGAGAGAGAGAGAGAGGGGGAGAAGTGGAAAAGGACAGCGCGAGCGAACAGTTAAAGAGAGAGGGAGGGACGAAAGGCGCGGGAGGATGGTGTGTTTTGTCGATATGAGACAATAAAGAAATAGCAATTTGGCCGGCACGCGAGGTGCACGGATAGCGAAAGTGGGTCGTGACGTCGAACGCCAACGACGGCGAGCAACGTCACGCCAATGATCCTTCTCTCCCCGACAGGAGAAACTTGAAGCTACATTATTTATTTTTTTTTTTTACGTAAGAGAACGCGCGCGGACCGGACCGATCCGGCGAGGATCCAGTGGCTGCTCTGTATGCTGCCGAGAGGGAAAAAGGGGGGGAGGGGGATATAAATACAAATATATGTATATCTCTGTTACAACGTATCGCCGATGCAGCCGGGGGACGACGCTCCCACGGATTCGTCTTCTCCTACCTTTTCTCGTTGACACCGTCTCCAGCGGATCACACAATACAACGGGCTCGCCCTCCTCTCCGGTGTCCGTATGAGTGACTCGGCCGTACGCGAGTCCGGCCGTTTATTTAGCGCGCGCGTTTGCGATACGCGACGAATGCGTGCCGCGAGGAATATACGCGACGGAGACTCGTTTTTGATGATAAATGGACGACGATCCTCGTTTCCTGTCGCTATTGCCGCTTCACGCTGCCGCTGCTTCGCACACTCGGGAAATTTTGGGCTCGCTGACTCCGGGGGCCAAGAGAGAGAAACGATAACTCCGCGAATCGGGCTCGAGACTGAGAGTGCGGCCAGTCGCCGCGCGATGCCGGCTTGCGATTGGACGGCCGGTAGGGTCTTCTATCAGGAGCTTCTATCGGCCCGGCGTGCATCGCGCGAGATGACGCGCGAAAAAACAAACGCGGAATCTGTGCGCGAAAAAATTCCATCCGATTCACTCGAAAGATTTTCGCCGAAAATGAAAGAAATTTTTGAATTTTTTTTACACGATGTCTTTTTTTCTTAACCTTATTATATATAATCTTTTAGCTGCACAGTTTATACCTTGTCCTATCTCTCTTTAAATCCATCGAGACATAACATTATCTCACACACATCTCTAATATGAAAACTCAAAAACTAGAAGAAATAAAAGCCAAAAAGGACAGACCTATTCTGTATCTGCGTCGATTATTAATGCTGTGATTAAAAAAGAAGAATGAACAGATAAAAATAAATATAGTAGATTAAGCTGCGATTTTAAAATAATTCCAAGAAAGATATAGAATTTTTTAAAAGTAACAAGTTGACTATCAAAACAAAAAAAAATATCGACATGATATTACTTTATTCAAGTTTTATATTTATTATAAGATAATATTTGTTACAAGATAAGAAAAGATAATAAGAAGAATGTTTCATTAAAAAACATTGAAGAAGATTATTTAAATTAGCAAGAGAAAGAACATGGACTGCATAACTTTTCTCGAATTTACATATGTTACTATATTTTCCTGGTTCTTTTATATTTTTTGTCTCATTATTTTTCAATGTTTTCAAGATACAAGCATATTTTTGCATTATTTTAAGCATAGCAATTGCAAGTAATGTTTCATTATTTGATATTATTTGATACCCGCAATGTCTAATTTTAAATGCAAGCAATTAAGATTCGAAATAAAGATATTAAAGTAGAAATATCAAATTAAAAAAAATGATATCTCTCACATTCTATCATGTGTACTTCATTGTCAATCCTATTAAAATTTATTTTTACAGATTTCGATAAGAAAAAACGTAAAGCTTTTTTTATTGTTTGAAAAGTTTGCAAAATTTGCATGTTATCAATATGAATTTTTGCATAATTGTGTCTTAACTTTGAATAGCTCAATATTTTGTTGTGAAAATAACAGATACGGGCTTATTGCCAATTACAATGCTGTTTTTTACCAGTAAAATTTGTAAGATCTATTGTTGTATGATTGTCTATCTGGTCGATGTAAACAATGTATTTTTTCAAAGCTCTGATCGCATTTTCTTCATTAATTATTAATGATTTATTTAAATACATATTGTAATAATAAAAAAATCGTGCATACAAAAAAGAAAAAAATTTAAAATTTAATTTATCGATAAAAAGCTGTCAGGAATATTTTAACGTTCTGCAAGTTGTCATGTTATCAATCCCTTCCCCCATTGTCATCGGTTCTACTTATGCGCAAACAATCATATATATAGCCGCACATATCGATAAACAACGTTAGCAAAAGTGCTAGTGGTTGATTACACTTTATTTTTTTTGTGCATTTAATCGCAAAGTGTAGAAGAAAGCTCGACGTTCAAAATTTCGCGATTCGACGCTTTAGTTGTCGGAAAATTTGGAAACATGTTTCGCCTTCTTGTAGCGGTCGCGGTGCTCTTCGTGTTGATCGATGCGGAACTCCAGAGGTAGCCCTAACACGTATATTGTGATGCATTATATATCGGTGTAATAAATATCACACATAAGATTATACAGATCGATCTCTCTCTCTCCGCATCTGACTTTCTGAAGTCGATACAAAACTTGTACAAAGATGATTAACAATAAACAATTAATCAAATTAATTAAATTATAATGATTTTATTCAAGACTTTGAATTGTAAATTGAATAATATTTTAGAAATTGATGCAATATATGTATGTATGTATGTATGTAAAATAAAACACAAATGTCCTTTATGTTACTTTAAGAATTTCATTGCACAAGATGGATTCTATTCGAAAAGCTTTAAAGAAAGTTGGTACCAACTTGCAACAAGTTGGTTCTTTGATCGAAGCTACAGCGGAACCTTTGTCTAATTATATGGACGCTCAATACTATGGCGAAATGTCCATTGGAACTCCACCCCAGAAATTTAAAATACTATTTGATACTGGTTCCTCAAATCTTTGGGTACCATCCGCACGATGCAGTTCTCAAAATTATGCTTGCTGTAAGTAGTTTAGCATATAAGACCTTAATAAATTTGCGCTTAATAAGAAATTTTATGAAATAAGTTTTACTCAATCCGTGCCCTTCCTTAGACGTACATACAACCGTGAATTGAATGTCGAATAATATATAATCACGCATGCACATTACCAGCCAACGTTAAAGTAAATTTTATATAATATTTCCTAACTTTTATTCGTTAACCATTGCAAAAAATAAATAGTATTGCAATTTATTTAGATCAATAAACAAAATCTATTTTAAAAATCTTTTTAATATTACTGATTTGTGTGTGTGATATTATTTTTTACAGTATTACATAATAAATATAATAGTGCAAAATCTAAAACATATAAACAAAATGGTACTTCGTTTTCTATTAAGTACGGCACTGGCAGTCTGTCTGGATTCTTATCTACGGATGTAGTGAACGTGAGTCTTAATTAAACAAACAATCCAATTCAATTATAACTATAATTGTAGCTGAAATATTTCTTAAGCAATTATATCGTTATTTTTGTGCGCAGCGATATTTTATATCTATTTCTTTATATTGGATGATTGCATAAGTTCGTGCCCGGGCACGAACTTATGCAATCACCTGATAGGTTGCCGGTCTCAATGTTCAGCATCAAACATTTGCGGAAGCAATTGACGAACCAGGCTCAACGTTCGTTGTTGCGAAATTTGACGGTATTATGGGCATGGGTTATCCCTCGATTTCCGTGGATGGAGTGACGCCTGTCTTCTACAACATGGTCAATCAAGGCCTAGTATCATCACCCGTTTTTAGCTTCTATCTGAATAGGTATGTATTTTCTCTAAATATGCACATGACTAAATAAAAGTTTGTAATAAATAAATATGTATTACAATATATAAAAAATATATAACCACACTCTATGCAGAGACCCTTCGGCCAAGGTAGGTGGTGAATTGATATTGGGTGGTTCCGATCCCAATTATTACAAAGGCAGCTTCATATACGTTCCTGTTACTCGCAAAGGATACTGGCAATTTAAAATGGATAAGTACGTTATTTTTTAAATTATTTTAATTATGTTTCAAGAAATTGTTAACATTATCGCGCTGTAGGGTTGAAATAAAAGGTCACACCTTGTGCGCGGATAGTTGCCAAGCTATTGCTGATACAGGTACCTCGCTAATAGTTGGACCAAAATCGGACATTGCAATTATTAACAAATTAATTGGAGCCAATAGTGATAATTATGGAAATGCAATAGTAAGTACACAATTATACTTCTTTCATAGCACAATTGTTATAGAAAAATTATGAATTGTTTCTAAAATATAAATTAATATTTGTTAAATTATTAATTACTAATTTGATATTATATTTTGGTTAAAGGTGGATTGTAATCGGATTTCTTGGTTGCCCCAAATTACTTTTGTTATAGTTGGTAAAAAGTTCATTCTCACCAGTAAGGATTATATCATTCAGGTAAGTATCATATACATCGTAATTCGGCTTAAATTATTTAAGATTAAGTTTATAGCTGAAGCTTTCTTTTCTTAGTTAATTCAAGTTGAATTATTTAAAAATAGGAAGCTCACACTGTGTACTTAATTCTTCGTAGGATACACAAAACGACGGCACCAAGACTTGTATGAGCGGTTTTTCGGCATCTGACTCACCTTTATGGATACTGGGCGATGTATTTATTGGTCGTTACTACACCGAGTTTGATATGGGAAATAATCGAGTCGGATTTGCCACGGTGATATAAATGTCGATTGTCTTCCTTTAAATTTACCATTAGATCTAAAATGATGACAATAAGCTAAATCATAAACTCAAACAAAGAAATCTATTTAATTACAAAAAAATATATTATATCCCGTGATGTATACCTTGTCGTCAGTTTTATTAAAATTTATCTGCATTTAAGTTTCAATAGAAAAAAACTTTAATCTTTTTTTATCGTCAACTGACAAAGAGTTTGCATGTCATCAGCATAAATGTTGTATAATTTGTGCATAATTGTACTTCAACCTTGAATAGCACAAGATTTTGTTGTGAAAGTAGCTGATATGGATTTGCTGTCAATTACAATGCAGCTTCTTGCAAACAAAATATTATTTGCAAAGTCCATTGTTGTATGATTGTCTATCTAATCGACGTAAGCAATGTATTCTTTTGAAGCGTTGATCGCTTTTTTGCCTCATTAATTATTAAAGATTTATTTAAATATATGTTGTAGTAATTCAAGAAAATTGTGCATACAAAATACCTTATTATCAAATATAATTAATCGATAAAAATTTATCAGAGGTTTTCGAACATTTTGCGCGTTGTCATGTTATACTAATCCCTCCCAGTGCAGATACTGCTTAACATGCAACCGTATATAGCTCCGTCGTATATCAATAAATACCGTTAACGAAAACGCCAGTTAGTTGATTGCGCTTTATTTTTTTTGTGCGTCCAGTCACAAAGTGCAAAAAAAAAACTTGGAAGTTTCACAATTCGAAGCTTTAGTGGTCAAAAAATTCAAAAATATGTTTCGTCTTCTTGTGGCGGCGGCGGCGCTCTTCGTCTTGATCGACGCGAAACTCCAGAGGTCAGGGTACTACATTGTCAATCGGCGTGATATCGAGATTATAAAGATCAATCTCCTTCTCTCTCTCGCATCTGATTTTCTAGAATCAACATGAAAACGATGAGCATTTCAATAATGATTAAACGAAATTTTTTTTAAAGTAAGAGCGTAGAATGTGTTCCTGAAAAAAATATTTTCTGTGAGCGAAACTCCCGCTTTCGTTCATCTTATCACGTTTCTAAAATAAATATGCATGAATACTGTGATTTGTGGTAAAATATATAATTGTCAACTATTTTTTGAAATAATAAATACTAAATAAGTAAACTATATATTAGTGAGTTGCTCTTTGTCATGTATTTATTCTCTGTATATTATATTCTCGTTTAGAAGTATATATAATCACCTTATTTGAAGTTATTTTCTTTGTATCAGATTCTTTTTTACTTGCAATGTTATCTTTAACAAAAAATCAGAGTTTATTGAGTTATAATGATGTTATACATATTTAAAACTTTTGACTATAAATTAAATAATATATTATAAATATGTAAGCAATATATTGTATGTAATGTATAATCTAAAATAATCATCGATTTAGTTATAATTAAAGTTTTTGATATAATTATATTTAAATACATTTACATTGTAAATATATAAGATAAAATTAATTTCTGGGATAAAAACTGAACTTGTACAGCTTTCTCATAACTTATATTTCTTTGGAATCTGCTGCGTTTAAATCATTAAAAAATTAAATATACATTTTACATAAGTGTGTATATATATGAATACATGTAAGCATGTAACAAAATGTTCTGCATGTTAATTCAAGGATTTTATTACACAAGACGGATTCTGTTCGACAAGCTTTGAAGAAAGTTGGCACCGACTTACAAGAGATTGAATCGGTCGAAGAAAATTCTACTTCTGCAATAGAACCATTATCCAATTATTTGGATGCTCAGTATTATGGTGATATAGAAATTGGAACTCCGCCGCAGAAATTTAAAGTAATATTTGATACTGGCTCCTCAAATCTTTGGGTACCATCTAAAAAGTGTGACCTTCTCAATATTCCTTGCAGTAAGTATCTTCTTGTCATTATACATATATACACACACACACACACACACACACATATATATATATATATATATATATATATATATGGAATATCAATTGACTCGCACTCACTATAAGTGTACACAATTATATTTATTGATAAAAAATAAATCCAAAAATCCTGAAAGTTTGACGAACAATGATAACTCAAAAATAAAAACGACAAATGCATTTATATATATATTAGGTATCTGATAATTCAAATAATTATTGTACATTTAGATTAATAAGACTTATTTTTAAAATCTCTCTAACATTGCTAGCTTGTGATATTACTTACTATTTTTTACAGTATTACATAATAAATATGATAGTACAAAATCCAGCACATATAGACCAAATGGTACTCCGTTTGCTATTCAGTATGGCACTGGCAGTCTGGCTGGATTCTTATCTACTGATGTAGTAAATGTGAGTCATCATTAAACAAACAATTCAATACAGTCACAACTACAATCACGGTTAATAAACATTTTCCAAGTATCCTTTTTTGTTATTCTTGTTCCTAGTGATATTTTATTATTAATACAAATTTCTTTATAGGTTGCCGGTCTCAATGTTCAAAACCAAACATTCGCGGAAGCGATTGACGAGCCAGGCTTAACATTTGTTGCTGCGAAATTCGATGGTATCATGGGCATGGGTTATCCCACGATATCCGTGGATGGAGTGACGCCTGTCTTCTATAACATGATCAAACAAGATCTAGTGTCACCAGCCATTTTTAGTTTTTATCTGAATCGGTACGTACAGATATCTTCTTTCCATATGCATACTGCATATAACTATAAAAATGTTTTTAATAAAAAAATATATATTTTTTTATATATTATAATATAGAGAAAATATGTAATCTATGCAGAGACCCTTCGGCTAAGGTGGGTGGTGAATTGATATTGGGTGGTTCCGATTCCAATTATTATAAAGGCAATTTCACATACGTTCCTGTTACTCGCAAAGGATACTGGCAATTTAAAATGGATGAGTACGTTATTTTTTAATTATATTAATCATGTTTCAACAAATTGTTAATGTTATCACGCTGTAGGGTCAGAATAATCAAAACTAAAGGCAAACAAGGTAAGACTTTGTGCACGGGTGGCTGCCAAGCTATTGCTGACACAGGAACCTCGCTAATCATTGGACCAGTAGTAGACATCGCAATTATTAACGAACATATTGGAGCTATTGATGGAATAGTAAGTAAACAATCATTTCACAAAGGCACGGTCTTCTATAGAAAAATTATAAAAAAATGTTATTAAAATATAAATTAATATTTGTTAAAATACTAATTATTAATTTGATGTTCTCTTTTGTTTCAAGGTAGATTGCCATCAGATTCCTAAATTGCCTACAATCAGTTTTATTGTGGGTGGTAAGACATTTAATCTTACCGGTGAAGATTATATCATTCAGGTGAATAACATGAATCGTTGAAAATTGGTTTAAATTTTAAATTATTTAAGAATAGGAAACAATCACACTTTGTGTACTTAATTCTTTGCAGATTAAACAGGTCAACATCATGTCATGTACGAGCGGCTTCCAGGGATCTGACATGGCATCAAATGGTTTGCAATGGATTTTAGGCGATGTATTTATTGGCCGTTATTACACCGAGTTCGACGTAGATAATAATCGAGTAGGATTTGCTGTGGCGAAATAAATGTAGTAATATTTTCTCTTTTAGCTTATAACACTGTATTATTATAAAATATATTATATATTAAATGCAAATAAATTTGTTAAAAAATACATATTTTTTCATATTCTTTATATATTGATTTTATATATTAATCCTTCAGTTTTATTTACATTATTTATATATTTTATTTTAATGGTAATCCAATTGTTTCTCCTAATGTCTTCTTTATAATAATGTTTCTCGTGATTAAATTGCTTTTTATTTTGATATATATACATGGCATACATTTTGATATATATATATATATATATATATATACATGATAGAAATGTACATAATGTGGATTATTAAGTTTTGTACAAGCTTGGATTAAAAAAAAATTAGTATTAAATATTGCTCTTATATAATTACCATATAACAACACAATTGTTCTCATAGCAAATTTAATAATTACGGGATCCTCGTACGTATTCGAAAACCGTGCATATCTCTAATTACGTTTTTAAAAACCTGCAAAAGCATTTATCAAACAAAGTAATTTATAACATAATATATTTTCACAAATATAATAATAGTTATCAAATTCATATTATACATAGTATAAATATATAAAAGTGTTATATAAGTTTTATGTATACATATAAGAGATACATATGTAGACAAAAATGATTAAAAAAGAAAATGAGTGTACAATTTTACTTAAATAAATAAAAAAGAAAATGTAAAATAACTAAAATTTTTCAAAAAAGCGTGGCTCAGCTGTATTCCAAATCGGAACAAAAATTAATCGAAGTAAAACAAACATGCCACATCACGTGTTATGTTCTTCTTTATCATCAATTTTTTCTAAAATTATTTGGATAGTTCTCGATAAGAAAAAAAATTCAATCTTTTTTTATCGCCAACCGACAAAATTAGCATGTCATCAACAATTTTTGCATAATTTATGCATAATTAAGCTTTAATGTTGAACATCGCGATACTTTACTATGAAAGCAGCTGATATGAACTTATTGTTAATTACAATTCTTGCGAGCAATATGTCATTTGCAAAATTCATTGTTACATGGCTGTCTGTCTAGTCAACATAAACAATGTATTATTTAGAAACGCTGATCGCTTCTTCCTCATTAATCACGCACACATTTAATAATTTATTTCAATGCAAATTGTGCTAATTAAAGGAAATACTAAACAAGATATTTTTAGATTTGATTGATCGATAGAAATCCGGAAGCATTTCGAACGTGAATCGTATATACAGTCGCTGCTATATGTCAATAAACAAGAGCTTCTAGTAGTCGACTACAATTTATTTTTTGTACGTCCACTCACAAAGTGCAGAAGAAATTTCGCAAACATGTTTCGTTTTCTCGTGGTGGCCGCGGCACTTTTCGTGCTGATCGATGGCCAAACAAAAATCCAGAGGTAAGCATACACATCATATTGCATTATATATTGGCGTGATAAATATCGAATTTATAAGGATCGATGCATTTCATTGTCGCATCTGATTTCCTGAAATCGATACAAAACCTGCGTAAATGTGATTGCGTTTTAATCAGAATTGGACGAAATTTCTTTACGAAAATGTATGTGTTTGTTTATTAATCAAAAAAGATAAAAGTAGAATGTTTTTGAAAAAATATTCTCTATGGATTCGTGAAGCATATACTTTTGTCTATCTTATAGCGGTATTCTTATCGCATTTCTAATAGTAAATTATTTTCTGACGTGTAAGCAGATGAATTAAATATTGGTGAGCAGTTTTTTCTTATTTGTTTACTTGACGCAATCTCTATACATATACTCTATTTCTAGTAAATACAGTCATCTAATTTTGAATTATCTTTTTGTTTTTAGATATCTAAGATTACATAAAACGATATCTTTAACTAACACTCCAAACCTATTAAATTATAATGTTTTAATTTAAGACTTTACTCTTTCAATTATATATATACATGTAACAAAATATCTTTATATTATTTTAAGAATTAAATTGCACAAGATGGATTCTATACGAAAAGCTTTGAAGAAAGCTGGTCTTGACGTGCAACAAATTTTAGCCGAAGATAATACAGGAGCGGAAGGTTTGACCAATTATCTAGACATGGAGTACTATGGTCAAATCAGTATCGGAACTCCACCGCAAACCTTTACAGTAATATTTGATACTGGTTCCTCAAATCTTTGGGTGCCATCGCAAAAATGCCAATCTGATAATCAAGCTTGCGGTAAGTATATATTAATATATATATATATATATATATATATATATATATATGCATATACAGGGTAATAATTAATTTGGGCCCATAAGTACATAGCAATATATTTTGAACTGCGTGGCTCACGAATGAATGTTCGTTTAACAAAAGGTGAATCGAGAAAAAACTTATTTCATACTTCCTTCTTTGTTTTAAACAGGTAAAAATAGTTAAAAATGATTATACACTTTTCGATATTTTTCATCAAGAAATATCGTTATGTGTACTTATTGTTAGTAAATGCGAATTAATTAACACTTTGTCAGTATATGAATATATTACTATTTATGTAATATTTTATTATTTATAAATGCGCATATTGTATTTAATAATATTAATTATTGCTTACAAATATTAAAGAAAATCTGAATTTTTTGGAATAATTAATATCAAACCAATGCAGTAAAGAAAAAATGTTATAAATGTTATGAAATTCTATTCTATTTAATAATTATATTTTTTACATATAATCTTTTAGAATCTTTAAAAGAGATGAACAAGTGCAATTCTAAAAATGAAAATTATTGATAATATAAATATCGCAAAACCAAGCTTTACAATTTGCATGCACAGACTTATTTCTGCTATTTATCACGCTCACGTTCTGAAGATACAGATAAGTTTTGACACGCAAAGATAATTCAAAAGTTAAAACGACGAATTCGTTTGCTAATAATATCTAATAATTCAAATAAGCATTCTTTATTCGGATCAATAACATTTTTTTTTATTTTTGAAAATTTTTTGATACTGCTAACTTGTGATATTACTTATTATTTTTTACAGCATTACATCATAGATACGATAGTAGCAAATCGACCACATATGAAGCAAATGGTAAACCGTTTGCTATTCAGTATGGCACTGGCAGTCTGTCTGGATTCTTATCTACTGATGTAGTAAATGTGAGTCATCGTTAATCAAACTAATCCAATACAATCACTACAACCGTAATTTATAAACATTTTATAACCATTTTCATGTTATTATCGTGCGTCGTAAGATTTTATTATTAATACTATTTTTTTTTACAGGTTGCCGGCCTCAATGTTCAACACCAAACATTCGCAGAAGCAACCTCTGAGCCTGGCTCAACGTTCGTTTATGCGCAATTTGACGGTATCTTGGGTTTGGGCTATGACACGATATCCGAAGATGGAGTGACGCCTGTCTTCTACAACATGGTCCAACAAGGCCTAGTAGAACAACCTATTTTTAGCTTCTATCTGAATCAGTTCGTATTTTTTTTCCATATGCACAGTACATATCTATAAAAATGTAGAGATGACTCTTCGGCCGAGGTAGGTGAATTGATATTTGGTGGTACTGATCCTGATCATTACGTCGGTGAGATCACATACGTTCCTGTTACTCAACAAGGATACTGGCAATTTGCTCTGGATGGGTATGTCTTTTTTTTTAATTACACTGGTTATGTTCCAACAAAATTTTAACGTTATTGCGCTGTAGTGTCAAAGTAGGTGATAAATACATGGTCGTGGCTGGCTACCAAGCTATCGCTGACACGGGTACCTCACTAATAGTTGGACCATCAGACATTATCGACGTTATTAACCAAAAAATTGGAGCTGATAGTAATGGAAACGTAAGTAAACAATCATATTTTTCACAATAGCATACCTTTCTATAAAAAAATCATAAAATGTTACTAAATATATATTAATATTTTGTTAAATGACTAATCAATAATTTGATATTCTTTTTTATTTCAAGGTGGACTGCAGTCAGCTTTCTAATTTGCCTACAATTAGTTTTATTGTGAATAGTGGAACATACTTAGGTCTTACTCCTGACTATTATATTATTCAAGTAAGTATTATGAATTGTAATTTGGTTTAAATTATTTAAGAATATGAAATATTCGCATTGTGTATTTAATTTTTCGCAGGATCAAGGAACATGTATAAGCGGCTTCTCAGGATCTGACTCATCGCTATGGATTCTGGGCGATGTATTTCTTCGTCGTTACTATAGCGTGTATGATCAGGGAAATAACCAAGTGGGATTTGCTCAGTCGAAATAAATGTCAATTGCCCTGTTTTGAAGTTATACCGTTAGACATTAGATATAAATGACAACCTTGCAAAAAATGAAAAAAAAATTCTTTTTTTATAACATTTAATGCTTATTGTTTCGTAATTTTTAATTATAATTATTTATGCGGTGCACTGTTATAAACGGATATTTTTGTGATATATTCAAAAATTAAAATAAAGATATATGCGAAATTTTCCATCAATATAATTTGATGTATCTATTATATATTGTCCAAATACAAATAAATATGTTAAAAATAAAATAATCTTTTTGTGTATCCAATATTTCGATTTTATATATTAATCTTCCACACAGTTAAGAACTTGCAAACATTCATCAAACAAAGTAATTTATAATATATTTCCACTCATGTAGTTATAGTTTTCTCTTGGAGAAAATCGCTAGATCTTTCCATATTAATGATTCAAACTTCACGGTATTTAAGCCTTTAAATTTTGAAACAACCATATTTATGTCAAATATTGTATGGCAGTCATTTAAAATACAATTACATTAACAATAAACAAAATTCTTACTATAATATGTCTTTCTCTTTAAAGATAAATTGCATTGAAAAGAATATTACAGCTAATATATTTATGCATTATAAATTGTCCCATAGTTCCTAATTTGTAAGAAATATGCTATTATATAAATTTAATATCATCCAATAAAATTTGCAAATAGTAATATATAATGAAACGTGTGCTTATATATACATATAAATATATACATACACACATACATACATACATACATATATATATGTTTACTATTACCATTGCAAATTTGTAATTGCATATTTTTGATTCTTATAATTTTCAATGCAGATCAGTATCAATTAAGCTATTTACACGATGCGTCCTTTTCTACTTAGAGGCGCACTCGCCATACTCTGTTACCACAGGTATCTGTTATCACTTTTGCAATGTTCATTTAAATACTATGTCACACATCAATTTGTATATCACTATCTTCTGCTTCACTTTCAGTACTCACCATAGCATCTTCCCCCACTAACAAAGCAGCAGGTAAGTTTTGTGGTACATTGTCAATGTCTAGTCTCGGAGTGGAATACACATTTAAAACTTGTATTGTTGTAGGAGACGTCGATAGACACTGCGGTACAGATCCCAGAGGGTCTCCACTTAGTGCGTCGCAATCCAAAGAGGTGGACAGTTGCAATATATGAAAAAAATAAGTTTTTAATGCATAAAATGAATTAATTGAAGATGTCTATGTTATTAAAATAAAGAAAAATGAGTTTTTTTGCAAATACGTATCTATCTTGTCAGCATAAGGCTTTTGCAATGATCCGAATAATTGAGCAATAAATAAACTTGTCGGAAGGCAAATAGTGAACGAAACTCCGTGCTCTTCAGGCACATATTATTATTTCATGCTTCTTCAATGAGACATTATTGACTAAAGTTGCATTGAATAATTTCCCATTATACTCGCATTACTTTTTTGGATTTTAATTGCATTTCGTATATACATTTTTTTTTTAACGCGCATGCTGAAACTATCCTGCGAATTGATGCTTATAGTCTATCAGAGGGAGACAATATTAAAGGCGGTGATGTATATGTAGATACATTGAATTTAACGACATAAGAACTTATACAACCCTATCTCCATAATCTTCGAAATGGACCTAATTTTTTTTTAGCTATATTTGTGAATGAATTTTTTCTACGAATTTATAAGATATAAAAAACTGTATGAAGTTAGTAAAAATAAAATATAAATTGCAAAATAAATAATATATATTTAAAGATTTTACATTAAAAAATAAATTTTTTATTTACAAATAAAATAAGACGATTAATCGACGCTTTTATATATGTATATTTTTTAGATATAATTAATACATTTTGATCTTTTTTCCTTTAATCTACTTTTGAAACATTGATTTATTTCAAAACATCGTTCGCATTTCTAATTCGAAGTCGCGTGGGAAACAAGCAATATTTCGATAAGATTGGTAAGAGGGCAAGAGCATATATTTATAAAGACAAAAAATGATTAAAAAACGAGTGGACAGTTTTTTGTTTGCATAAATAAAAAAGAAAACTTAAAATAAGAATTTTTCAAAATAACGATAAGTATTGTTGATAGTTATCGCTGAATAATCAGCTGAGTCCCTAGCCGAGACAAGTATCATTATTAAATTTTAAAAAAGTATCATATCATGTTGTATGTTCCTCATCATCGATTTTATTAATATTTATCCACATAGGTTCTGATTTTTAAAAAAATTTAATTTTTTTTATCGCCAACCGACGAAGTTTGCATGTCATCAACAATTTTTATATAATTTATGCATAATTAAGCTTTAACGTTGAACAGCGCGATACTTTATTGTGAAAGCAGTTGATATGAACTTATTGCTAATTACAATTCTTGCGAGCAATATCATTTGCAAAGTTCATTGTTACATAACTGTCTGTCTAGTCGACGTAAACAATGTATTCTTTTGAAACGCTTATCGCTTCTTTCTCATTAATCACGCACACAATTAATAATTTATTTTAATACAAATTGTGCTAATTAAAGAAAATACTAAACAAGATATTTTTAGATTTGATCGACAGGAACCCGGAAGCATTTCGAACGTGAATCGTATATATAGCCGCTGCTACATATCGAGAAACAAGAGCTTCTAGTAGTCGACTACAATTTATTTTTTGTACGTCTACTCACAAAGTGCAGAAGAAAATTCGCCAGAAATTTCGCAAACATGTTTCGCTTTCTCGTGGTGGCCGCGGCACTCTTCGTGCTGAGCGATGGGCAAGCACAAATCCAGAGGTAAGCACACATATCATATTGCATTATATATTGGCGTGATAAATATCGAATTTGTAGGGATCGATGCATTTTGTTGTCGCATCCGATTTCCTGAAATTGATACAAAACTTGCGTAAATGTGATTGCGTTTCAATCAGAATTGGACGAAATTTCTTTACAAAAATGTATGTGTTTATTTATTAATCAAAAAAGATAAAAGTAGAATGTTTTTGAAAAAAATATTCTTTATGAATTCGTGAAGCACACACTTTTGTCTATCTTGTAGCGGTATTCTTATCGCATTTCTAATATTAAACTATTTTCTGACCTGTAAGCAGATGAATCTAATATTGGTGAGCAGTTTTTCCTTATTTGTTTACTTGATGCTATCTCTATACATATACTCTATTTCTAGTAAATACAGTCATCTAATTTTGAATTATCTTTTTGTTTTTAGATATCTAAGATTACATAAAACGATATCTTTAACTAACACTCCAAACCTATTAAATTATAATGTTTTAATTTAAGACTTTACTCTTTCAATTATATATATACATGTAACAAAATATCTTTATATTATTTTAAGAATTAAATTGCACAAGATGGATTCTATACGAAAAGCTTTGAAGAAAGCTGGTCTTGACGTGCAACAAGTTTTGGCTGAATATAATACTGCAACGGAACATTTATCTGATTATCTAGATGTGTCATACTATGGTAATATCAGTATCGGCACTCCACCGCAGTACTTTTCAGTATTATTTGATACTGGTTCCTCAAATCTTTGGGTGCCATCGCAACAATGCCAATCTGATAATCAAGCTTGCTGTAAGTATATATTAATATATATATATATATATATATATATTAATATATACTTCTTATTTTATACTTTCTTCTTTGTTTTAAGCAGATAAAAATAGTTAAAAATGGTTATAAAATTTTCAATATTTTTCATCAAGAAATATTTTTGTGTATTTAGTGAGTGCAAATTAATTAATACTCAGTATATGAATATGTTATTATTATTTATTTATTATTTTATTATTTATATATGCACATAATGACGAATACATTTACATATATCTAATAATTCAAATAAACATTCTTTATTCGGATCAATAACATTTTTTTTTTTTTTTGAAAATTTTTTAGTACTGCTAACTTGTGATATTACTTATTATTTTTCACAGCATCACATCGTAGATACGATAGTAGCAAATCCAGCACATATGAATCAAATGGTGAGCATTTTGGTATTCAGTATGGCACTGGCAGTCTGACTGGATTCTTATCTACTGATGTAGTAAATGTGAGTCATATCGTTATTCAAATAATCCAATATAATTGCAACTACAATTGTAGTTTATAAACATTTTTTAAGTATTTTCATGTTATTATTGTGCGTCGTGATATTTTATTATTAATATAATTTTTTATAGGTTGCCGGCCTCAATGTTCAACACCAAACATTCGCAGAAGCGGTTGAGGAACCAGGCTCAACGTTTGTTTATGCGAAGTTTGACGGTATCTTGGGTATGGGCTATGACACGATATCCGAGGATGGAGTGACACCTGTTTTCAACAATATGGTCCAACAAAACCTAGTGCCAGAACCTGTTTTCAGCTTCTATCTGAATCGGTTTGTATTTTCTTTCCATATGAATAGCGCATACCTATAAAAATGTTTTTAATAAAAATATATATTTTTATTAAAATATATATATTTTAACAAAAATATATTTATATTATACAATAAAATTAGAAAATATATAATCTATGCAGAGATGACTCTTCGGACGAGGTAGGTGAATTGATATTGGGTGGTACTGATCCCGATCATTACGTCGGTGAGCTCGCATACGTTCCTGTTACTGAGAAAGGATACTGGCAATTTACTATGGATAGGTAAGTCTTTTTTTTTTAATACATTGGTTATGTTCCAACAAAATTTTAACGTTATTGCGCTGTAGTGTCACAGTAGGTGATAATAACGTCGCGGGTAGCTACCAAGCTATCGCTGACACGGGTACCTCACTAATAGTTGGACCATCAGACGTTATCGACGTTATTAACCAACAAATTGGAACTGATAATTATGGAAACGTAAGTAAACAATCATATTTTTCACAATAGCATACCTTTCTATAAAAAAATCATAAAATATTACTGAATATATATTAATATTTTGTTAAATGACTAATTAGTAATTTAATATTATCGTTTGTTCAAAGGTGGATTGTAGTACGATTAATCAGTTGCCTACAGTTGGTATTGTTCTGAATGGTCTAACATATAATCTTACTCCTGACGATTATATTCTTCAAGTAAGCATTATGGATTGTAATTCGATTTAAATTATTTAAGAATATGAAGTATTTGCATTGTGTATTTAATTTTTCGCAGGATGTAGAAGACGGCGTCGCGACATGTATGAGCGGCTTCGAGGAATCTGACTCAGATCTATGGATTCTGGGTGATGTATTTCTTCGTCCTTACTATAGCGTGTATGATCTGGGAAATAACCAAGTGGGATTTGCTCCGTCGAAATAAATGTCGATTGCTCTGTTTTGAAGTTATACCGTTAGATATTAGATATAAATGACAACCTCGCAAATAATGAAAAAAAATCTTCTTTTATAACGTTTGATGCTTATTGTTTCGTAATTTTTAATTATAATTATTCATGCGGTGCACTGTTATAAACGGATATTTTTGTGATATATTCGAAAATTAAAATAAAGATATATGCGAAATCTTCCATCAATATAATTTGATATATCTATTATATATTATCCAAATACAAATAAATCTGTTAAAAATAAAATAATCTTTTTGTGTATCCAATATTTCGATTTTATATATTAACCTTCCACACAGTTAAGAACTTGCAAGCAAAATCATTCATCAAACAAAATAATTTATAATATATTTCCACTCATGGAATTATAGTTTTTTCTTGGAAAAAATCGCTAGATCTTTCCACATTAATGATTCAAGCTTCACGGTATTTAATCCTTTAAATTTCGAAACAATTATTTTTATGTCAAATATTGTATGGCGATCATTTAAAATACAATTACATTAACAATAAACAAAATTTTTGCTATAATATATGTCTTTCTTTTGAAAAATAAATTGCATTAAAAAGAATATTACATTTACGGAATATTACATATTACAACTAATACATTTATGTATCATAAATTGTCCCATAGTTCCCAATTTTTAAGAAATATGCTATTATATAAATTTAATAAAATCTAATAAAATTTGCAAATAGTAATATACAATGAAGCGTGTGCTTATATATAGGGGAAAATAGGGTAAAATCGGGTAGGCGGGTCAAACCGAGTACTTCTGTTTCTTCGTGATAAGTGCTACTATCTTTAGCTAACTCGTGTTATTAGTTGTAGATTGATTCCAACATTATTTTGAGATGAACCGTGCCCACGTGCACACAATATTTCTTTTTTGAGAGATGTTCAATATTTTCGGGCCAAGAAAGATCGATATCGGGACAACAATCGAGTCGTTATGGACTTTTTCTACACAGAGCATCTGCTTCGGTAAATGCAGCATTGCATATTTTGTACATATTAGAACGTATATCTACACTAGTTTTGATTGTCACTTTGTACGCCAGAATATACAACCGCCATGCTTGTTACTTTCCTTGTTTTGGTGCAAAACCGGGTACCTACACATCTCATGTAATCAAAAGAGGAATAAATGTTATCCTGACTTTGTCTCCCTACAAAAAGCTGTTGGAAACAAAAACTACCACTCAGAAAAAGAAATCACTAAAAAAAAAAAGCTTTTCGTAATGCCTAAAATTAAAAAATTAAATAAGGAAGTCTTGCAGCAATGTCGAACAAGAGAATATCTTTATTTGTGATTTTTGTCAATAGAATACATCTTTATATTGTATTTTGATTAAAATAAATTTAAATTTTGTAATTGCATGGTTAGATTTTACATGTTTTCAAATGGGTACCCGGTTTTACTCTACCGGTAGGGCAAAACCGGGTATTTTGACTTCTCTAAAAAATCTTGTTATCCTTGGTAACCAAATATTTTTTTTTTCAGCAATTAGCCTCATTTTCTGATAGTTTAAAGTCTACGAAAGATTACTAATAGTCAGCAAAATTTTTTTTATTCTCTGATTTTGTGTAGGAAGACAAATCATTTTACATGTTTTCAAATGGGTACCCGGTTTTACCCTACCGGTAGGGCAAAACCGGGTATTTTGACTTCTCTAAAAAATCTTGTTATCTTGGTAACCAAATATTTTTTTTTTCAGCAATTAGCCTCATTTTCTGATAGTTTAAAGTCTACGAAAGATTACTAATAGTCAGCAAAATTTTTTTTATTCTCTGATTTTGTGTAGGAAGACAAATCCAAAAAAGTACCTGGTTTTACCCTATTTTCCCCTATATATATATATGAAAAAAATAAAAGTGTTTAATGCATAAAATGAATTAATTGAAGGTGTCTATGTTATTAAGATAAAGAAAAGTGAATTTTTTGCAAATACATATCTATCTTGTCAGCGACATAAGGCTTTTGCACTGATCCGGATAATCGAGCAATAAATAAACTTGTCGAAAAGCAAACAGTAAATGAAACTCCGTGTTCTTCAGGCACATATTATTATTTCATACTTCTTCAATGAAACATCATTGACTAAAGTTGCATTGAATAATTTCCCATCATACTTGCATTACTCTTTTGGATTTTAACTGCATTTTGTATATACATTTTTCTTTGAACACGCATGCTGAAACTACCCTACGAATTGATGCTTATAGTCTCTTAGGGGGACACAATATAAAGACGGTGATGTATAGATACATTGAATTTAATGACATAAGAACTTATACAACTCTATCTCCATTATCTTCGGAATGGATCTAATTTTTCTCAGCTATATTTATAAATGAATTTTTTCTACGAATTTATAAGATATAAAAAACTGTATGAAGTTAGTAAAAATAAAATATAAATTGATTATACAATTTTCTACTCCATCTACTAATTATATTTTTCAATTATAATCTTTTAGAATCCTTAAAAGAGATGAAAAAATACAATTTAGAAAATTGAAATTATTGATAATATAGACATCACAAAACCAAGCTTTACAATTTAAATGTACAGACTTATTTCTGCTATTTATCACATTTACTCTCTAAAGATATAGAAGTTTTGACACGTGAAGATAACTCATGAGTTAAAACGGCGAATGTATGCATTTACATATATTGATAATTCAAATAAGCATTCTTTATTCGGAACAATAAAATTATTTTTTATTTTTGAAAATTTTTTAATATTGCTGACTTGTGGGGGTGATTACGATAACTTTGGCCCCCTTTTGAAAGGTCGTTTCTGAAGACATTTTTGACGAGGAACACGGGAAAAATAGTAAAAAAAATTTCCGACCAATAGTTTTCGAGATATATCACTTTAAAGTATTGGACATGATAATAAAACGTTACAAAACGGACCCAATGACCTTGACCTCGCTTCGCATTGTAAAGTATATGCGTGGACGCAGTGGGTTCCGCCCCCCACCTCCTACGGGGGGGAATACTTTAAAGTGATATATCTCGAAAACTATTGGTCGGAATTTTTTTTTACTATTTTTTCCTTGTTCCTCGTTAGAAATATCTTCAGAAACTACCTTTCAAATAGGGGGCCAAAGTTATCGTAATCGTGTCGACTTGTGATATTACTTACTATATTTTACAGTAACTCATAATAAATACGATAGTAGCATATCCAGCACATATAGACCAAATGGTACTGCGTTTGCTATTCGGTATGGCACTGGCAGTCTGACTGGATTCTTATCTACTGATGTAGTAAATGTGAGTCATCCTTAATCAAATAATCCAATATAACTGTAACTACAATTGTAGTTTATAAACATTTTTTTAAGTATTTTTATGTTATTATTGTGCATCGATATTTTATTATTAATATAATTTTTTATAGGTTGCCGGCCTCGCTGTTCAAAGACAAACATTCGGAGAAGCGGTCTCTGAGCCGGGCTTAACGTTCGTTTTCTCGAAGTTTGACGGCATCTTGGGTATGGGTTATCCCTCGATATCCGAGGATGGAGTGACGCCTGTTTTCAACAATATGGTCCAACAAAACTTAGTGCCACAACCTGTTTTCAGCTTCTATCTGAATCGGTTTGTATTTTCTTTTCATATGCACAACGCATATCTATAAAAATGTTTTTAATAAAAAAATACATTTAAAAAGATATTATAAATGTTATACAATTTTCTACTCCATCTACTAATTATATTTTCAATTATAATCTTTTAGAATCCTTAAAAGAGATGAAAAAATGCAATTTAAAAAATTTAAATTATTGATAATATAAATATCACAAAACCAAGCTTTACAATTTACATGTACAGACTTATTTCTGCTATTTATCACATTCACTCTTTAAAGATACAGATAAATTTTGACACGCAAAGATAATTCATGAGTTAAAACGGCGAATGTATGCATTTACCTATATTTGATAATTCAAATAAGCATTCTTTATTCGGATCAATAAAATTATTTTTTATTTTTGAATATTTTTTAATATTGCTAACTTGTGATATTACTTACTATTTTTTACAGTACTTCATAATAAATACGATAGTAGCAAATCGACCACATATAGACCAAATGGTACTCAGTTTGCTATTCAATATGGCAGTGGCAGTCTGTCTGGATTCTTATCTACTGATGTAGTAACTGTGAGTCATCCTTAATCAAATAATTCAATATAATTGCAACTACAATTATAGTTTTTAAACATCTTTTTAAGTATATTCATGTTATTATTGTGCATCGTGATATTTTATTATTAATATAATTTTTTATAGGTTGCCGGCCTCAATGTTCGAAACCAAATATTCGGAGAAGCGATTAAAGAGCCGGGCTTATCGTTCGTTTTTTCGAAGTTTGACGGTATCATGGGTATGGGCTATAACACAATAGCCGTCGATGGAGTGACGCCTGTCTTCAACAATATGGTCCAACAAAACCTAGTGCCAGAATCTGTTTTTAGCTTCTATCTGAATCGGTTTGTATTTTCTTTTCATATGCACAGCGCATATCTATAAAAATGTTTTTAATAAAAAA